CTCTGTGTCAAACACACAATAGATCTCCTCAGCATTAGTCCGTTTGATGTCTGCCATGAAAAGGAAAGCCATCGCCCCTGTGTCACTCTTCTCTGTCTTTTATTCTCTTGTTTTTACTTATTTATTTCAGGCGTCTCACTCATCGCTCTCTCTTTGAGCTGTCCCCCCGGTGCCCTTTCCAGAACGGAGCTTACGGTTTTCAATCAGCACTTCCCACTCACTGGGACCGTCCGGTTTTCATGTGCCTCAGCCCAAGCGGCCTGAAAATGTCTGGACGTGAGCTGAACGCTGTGCCAGCTCTGAGTGCACCTACGGTATGATATAATTACACAGATGACAGTGTGAACTTCCCTCCACATCCTGAGTGCACTGGATTTTAGGGAGGAATTTGCCGTGAATGAACTGTGGCCGCTGATAGTGTTGTTTATTTGCATATGCTGTCTGTCTGCATTGCTTTAGCACCTGATCCACTAAAGGTGGATGCAAATCAAGAAATGGTCCAAACCTCATGGGTTGTGAGCACTAAGTGCTGGAGGATGCAACAAACATACATACTGGGATACTTTACTGGGACTGTACAGCATTTGATAACTATAATATGTAGACAAGATGCAGGCCATAAACCAAATACAAAAGTGACAAAGTGAATTTGTCCGTTTTCTTTTATTTATTTATTTGCATAGGAAAGACTTTAAGTCTTATGTTGATGACAAACTCAAGCAAAATGCTTTAATGCAAAACAAATCAAAACAAAAAAGCAAAACCCCAAACAAAACAAAACAAAAAGCAAAACCCCAAACAAAACAAAACAAAACACCAAAACACTAAAACAACAACAAAAACAGAAAAGCAAAACCCCAAATAAAACAAAACACATGCACAAAGAATAAAACAAACAAACAAACAAAGTTCATTTGAGAATTTGACCACAATGTTTTTTTTTTCTTCGGTTAAACCTAATTTTAGGTTCTGCTATAGATGAGGAGTCCTGGAAACATTATTTAAATTACATTAAAATAATTATATAATAATAAATAATAAATTAATTAAAATATTGAATCATTCTGTACTTCCAGTAATACAAGATTTTTTTTTATGTTTTTGGAAAAAGTCTCATGCTGATCAAGGCTGCATTTATTTGTTATAAAAAATATTATTACAAGTTAAAATTGTGTTCTATTTGAATATATTTTAAAATGTAATTTATTCCTGTAATGAAAAGCTGTATTTTCAACATCATTACTCCAGTCTTCAGTGTCACATGATCCTTCAGAAATCATTCTAATATGCTGTTTGTTCATATCCATATACGTTCTTTGCAAAAAATAAATAAATAGCAGCACAATCTGTGCTGGAATACACCAGCTACACGTTGCCTACATAACCCTGTTTACATTAGTTTGCCAAATGACTCATTCATCTTCTGACAGCACTCCTCTGAGAATTCCTGAAGAACATTTCCTTGAATATAAAGTCATCATGACATGTCACCATTTCTGTTGATAACAAATGCATAAAATCTTAAAAGGTCAGCGTCTGCTTCATGTTGACAGTCTGATGCCGCTGTTATTATTCTGTACAGCAACTCTCTGCATTCACAAAATACACTCCATCAAAACTAACTTTCAAAATCGGGTAACAGCTCCAGATGGTGCAGTTTCCAAATGCAAAAGCGCCACATATTAAGAAAATCTTCACTGTTTACACCACTGACAGACACTGTTTATCATAGTAAACAGCTGTCAGAGAGGGCCACATTAGCCAGTAGCCAGCAAACACGTGGCAGCCCATCAAGTTTGGTGGGCTGTGACAGATGGATTCACGCAAATGGCAGAAATGCTTTACCATTCAGCAAAGAAATATGTCCTCAACAAAAAGAAACAAAACAAAAGTGAAATATTATTCAAAATATATTACTTTTTTTCCACATGAGGAAGAACATTACAAAACATGATAGTGAGTTGGTCCAAAATAACAAAACATTGGACTCCACTGTATGGGAAAAACAAAACAAAATGCAAACTTTGGTCCAAAGCTAAAGCTTGAGCTCGTCCAAAAACAAAACAAAACAAGACGAGACGAGACAAAACAAAACAAAACAAAACAAAACAAAACAAAACAAAACAAAACAAAACAAAACAAAAGAGACAAGACAAAATGCAAACTTTGGTCCAAAGCTAAATCTTGAGCTGGTCCAAAAACAAGACAAGACAAAACAAATATTTTCCCCAAAATATCTTTTGTTTTCTACATTAGAAAACAGGATAGTGAGCTGGTTTACAACAACAAAACATTGCACTCTATTGACTTTCATGTAGATACAAACATGAAACAAAACAAAACACTAAAATAGGCTACACTGTTAGACATTTCAAAGGGTTTTTACAGTAGCTTACTGGCAACACTGTTGCCAGTAAGCTACTGTAATTAAGATTTACAGTAGCAAACTGTATTCCAATTCATCAGTATACTACTGTAATTAATTCATTTGAATATATTTCATTAGATTTTATAATTTTTATATATAATTCATTTTATTTTTACCCTACATAGGTATTACTGGCATTCAATTCAAACAGACACAATAATTACAAAATATCAAATTCTTTATTTAAAACATTGCACATATAACACTTATAAATTCTTATTCTCTCGTAAGGTGCATCGACACACAGCGCAGATGTTCTCCGGAACTCTTCCACTCTCGCGGGTTCATCCCCGGGCAAAACCCACGGCACTGAATGGCGCGGCACGACTCGAGTCGACAAAAGACAATATAGAACCCATTATACTATTTACAGTGGATGCGGACAGTAAAGTGATGCCCCGGTATATTTCTGAGTCTGACACACAGATGTACTCCAAGCGCTCGCGCTGTTTCTAGCCACAGAGGCTGTTACAGCAATTACAGTAGTATACAGCAATTTTAAAAAATACAGCAAGTCTCTGTATGTGGAGTTTGACATCACAGAAAATTCCCATGATGCAAAGGGTATTACAGTTGCTTATTGTAAAGCGAATTTGCAGTATTATACTGGGTGATATACAGTAAATAACTGTAGAAATTACAGAAATGTCTAACAGTGTAGTAACATATGCTAGTAAGCTTTCGGGTCCATTGTTGCCTCAAATTAATTAAACATAAAATCAGTTGCATACAGTGACCTACATTATATTCCTCGAACACCCCTTCCCAAAAAGAACGGACGAAATAGTTTTTTTAAGACATTTTTCATTTGGTACATAATTTTGGTTTCAATGCCTTCAGTGAGTTTCGAGTCTCGCTTAGCGTGCCAACAGAAATTCCGCAGGCTTACCTAGGACTGCTAAAAAACTTCTCACACCAGCCTGTAACAGTACGCCATGTCTTAGAGTAGATTGTGCTGTTTTTATTGGAGGAAATATCTGGACATCTGGATTAATTCCAAGTTTGGCTGGCACATGGAGGCTTTACTGACTCTGTGTAATGGGAATGGAAGGATGGGGTCATGCAACTCTACAAAGATAATAGAAATATATGAGTTTCCTGTCATCTGCCATACTCCACACCCTCAGTCATGAACCAGTCGCTGGCAAATTCTTCTACACCCAGAAACTGGATTTATCCAACCGTGTGTATCTACTCCAGCAGCTTCACCTCTAACTCTAAAAAAATCCAACCAACATCCCTTAAGTTACTCCATATGCCACTGTTTGCTTTGGAAATCCATCTCACATTTTGAAACGATCCGATTAGATTCAATTTAGCTGCACTTATTTGATTTAGCGGCCAATGACAAGGTAAAAAGAGCTGTGCTGACATTTGAGGTCAAGGTGGGCGATGGTGCAAATACTTTTGGTGAAAATTAATTCCTTATAAGTAGCTGAAGCCATTCAGTAAAAAACAAAACAAAAAAAAACTAAAAGCATTTCAGGCTTCTTGTTTGTGAATTCATATCTGATAATTGTGACTTAATCTTATAATTTCAATTTTATTTATTGTACTGTATCTACGAGAATTTATATCTCACAAAAATCTGCCCACAATTGCTACTTTATTTCTCATAACTATGATTGCGACAGTGCATTTCACAATTCGACTGTCTCATAATTCTCTTGTTCTTGATTATTTATTCAGTATAGTCTCATAATTTTGACCTTTTTTGGTAATTGTGACTTAATAATTGCTACTTATATTATTATTACATATCTGCAATTATGTTTCAGTAATTTTGACTTTACATCTGATTTCATGTCTCTTATTGTGAATGTATGTCTCATAATTTTAACCTCAGATCTTATGATTGCGTTTTTTATTTCTCTTTTTTTTTGTAGTAATTTCAACTTCATATATCACATTTCCTACTTCATAATTTGCAATTGTGAGATTATTTCTCTTAATTGATAGCTTTTTTTTTAATAATAGCTTTTTTTTTACAGTGAATTTCTCTCATAATTATGACTACTTTTTTTTAGTAATTGCGACTTTATATCCCGCAACTGAAACATTGTATTTTATAATTGCAAAGTTATTTCTCATAACTGTGATTATTTTATTCATTTTTTTCATAATTGTGATATCTCACAATATGTGTCTTTATATTCAGAGTGTATGCTTCATAATTGTGACTTCATATCTAGCACTTTATTTTAAGGTGTCGTTATTACACGTTACATGTACTTACCATTATAATAACAATAAATTATGCATAATTACATACAAGTAACCCTAAGACAAACCATAATCCTAACCCTAACCATATAGTAAGTACTTGTAGTTAATTAGTATTACTCAGTACTTATATGTATAATTACACTGTAACAAGGACACCTTAAAATAAAGTGTAACCTGATATTTTATTTCATTTATCTGCAACTTCATTTTTTGGTATCTTCTAGTTGTGTAGTTGTGAATTTACATCATATAATTGTGACCTTATAATTTTTATTTCATGTTACTCTAGTTTTATTTATTTATTTATTTTAGTAAGTGCAACTTTGTGTTACAATGTGACTTTATTTCCTATTTTAACCTTTATCTAACAATAACCTGTTTTTTTTTCTGTAGTTATGCGTCATACGTTTACAATAACAAACAGGAAGAAGAAGAAAAAAGTGTTTTAACAACCCCAGTTGTTGTTTGTTTGCATTAAATATTAATGCAGAGCAACAGATTCATACAAAGTTATGTATAGTGTTATTATTATTTTTAATGCTTTCTCATAAAAAGAAAGAAACCACTTATCTTGTTGCCGTGGTTCTATGTTTATT